GCCAGATGTGGTGATGCAATGCCTGTAATCCCAGCTACCCAGTTATTTGGACATAATATCTCTATTTTATTTATTTATTTTTATGTGATACTGAGGATTGAACCTAGTGCCTCATGCATGCAAGTCATGTGTTTTACTACTGAGCTACAAACCCAGCCCCTATACCCAGTTATTTGGGAAGCTGAGGTAGGAGGATTGCAAGTATGGAAGAGCCTGGAGAACTTGGGAGACAAAAAAAATTTTAAAGGGGTGGGGGAATGGACTGAGGGTATAGCTCAGTGGTGAGCCTGCCTACTATGTGCAAGGCTCTGGGTTTAATCCCCAGCTTGTGTGTGTGTGTATATACATAGTGCTATGGTTCTTTATTACTAGATAGATTCTGGATATTCATTTTACTTTAATCTGCTTCATAACTACATAAAAATCCTCTATACTTAGATAAACCTAATTGAGGAACTATTATATGAAATGTATTTACTTTCAACAAAGTCCACTGTTTGCTTAATGAAGAAAATAAACACAGAATACAATCATATCTGAATCATAGTATCTATGACTAGGAATAACCATATAAACATTCACACTTAGTGACACTGAAATCTTAATTTTTCTTTTTTGCAGTACTGGGGATTGAGCCCAGGGCCTCATGCGTGCTAGGCAAGCACCTTATTACTAAGCTACATTCCAAGCCCTTTCTATTTTTTCTTTTGAGACAGGGTCTCACTAAGTTGCCAGTCAAGTCTGAAATTTATGCTTCTCCTGCCTCAGCTTCCAGAGTAGTTGGAATCAGAGGCATACACCACAACAGCTAGTCTGAAATCTTCTCAGAAAAAGTTTTCTTGGGGCTGGGGATATAGCTCAGTTGGTAGAGTGCTTTCCTCACATGCACAAGGCCCTGAGTTTAATCCCCAGCACCACAAAAAAAAAAGAGAGAAGAAAAAGTTTGCTTGTTTTTATAAAAATCCTGGTATGAACATGGGAGTATGTCAAACATTAAAGTCACGGAGTCTTCAATGGAAAACCAGTTGAAGATTTGCTGCCTTTGGGAAACCAGGAGCATCAACAGGGGGCATGGGGGGGCGGTGGGATCAGTATATATCATATCCCAAATTCTTTGCACAGCACGAAAATTTTAACAGCTGGCATGAGATCAGAAGACAACTGGAGGGTTGAATGACAAAAGCAAAGGAAATGGAGAATTGGAAGGCATCTGGCATTCTGGTTTGGGACTATCATATTCCTCATCCCTACCTTATGGGAGAATATGTCATCATATTAGAAATGCTTTTAATTCCTGGTGGAGAATGAATATAGTACTCTTTTATATAATTATACATAAAGATTCTTTTTACCCAGAGACCAAAACTATTTTTGGCAATAGTTTCCAGGTTCCAAAGGAAAATACTTGATGTATTTTAAGAGAGTAGGTTTAAAGAGCTTTATAATTTATTTCTCAACACTGCACCAGAATGTCTATTTAACCATGTTTGATACCCTTATCAGGTGGCTGAGCTAGAAAAAAAGGTTGGGTTAGTCCTTTCAGGGTAACTATGGGAGAAGGGGCAATGAGGATATAAATGGAGAGTCAATCAGATCTAAGCAGCCTTGGCTTCCCTGGGTTTATGTTCAGACTTGCTCAGCTATGACTCTTTGTGGCTTCCCCCCAGCAGCTGGACTAGGGGAATACATGATTCATATTCACTAGCTTTTAGGGAGACCTGAAGCCAATCTTGCCATGCTTCTTTCTAGCCCAGCTCTCCTAGGTTCTCCTTTTGTGTAATCATAGATCAACCCCAATCCCCTAACTCCAACTTCTCCCTCTATACTGAGATTAGATTCATCAGGATTTTGTGTTTTCTAGTAATATTCTAGTTCTAATATTTAGTAATATTCTGGTATATGACAAGGTTTTCTTAATATTATCCTTTTCCAGTTGCTTGTAATACATTTATATACTATTTTTCTCAGTGCTTAAATATTCATTCTAAAGTATGTGGTCAAAATTCACTTGTAGAAATATTATTATGGGCCAGATATGGTGGTGCACGCCTGTAATCCTAGCAGCTCAGAGGCTGAAGCAGGAGGATCACAAGTTCAAAGTCAGCCTCAGTAAAACTAAGGTGCTAAGCAACCCAATGAGACGCTATCTCTGAATAAAATACAAAATAGGGCAGGGGATGTGGCTCAGTGGTCAACTGCCCCTGAGTTCAATCCCTGGTACCAAAAAAAATGTTTACTTCCTGGATGAATAATACCATAAGAAATTAAACATAATTAACTGAACTTCCTCCTTTCCCCCCAGTTCAGTACTTTGCCTGTGTATGCTTAAACAAAAGTAACTCTGGGCTGGGGATGTGGCTCAAGCGGTAAGCGCGCTCACCTGGCATGCGTGCGGCCCGGATTCGATCCTCAGCACCACATACAAACAAAGATGTTGTGTCAGCCAAAAACTAAAAAAAAAAATAAATATTAAAAAAAAAAAAAAAGTAACTCATATTTAAATTCCCAAAAACCTATCATATGGGCAAAGAAAGCTTATAGCAATGGGGTGCAGTGGTGCATGCCTGTAATACATACGACTTCAAGACTGAAGCAGGAGGATCACAAGTTCAAGGCAAACCTCAGTAACTTAGCAAGACCCTAACCAACTTAGCAAGACACTGTCTCAAAATTAAAAAAAAACATACAAAGAACTGAGGATGTAGCTTAGTGGTAAAGCACACCCCTGGATTCAATCCCCCTTAACAAAAAAAAAAAAAAAAATCTTATAGTGATACATTGTTCTTTTCTAGTTCTTTCTTTTTTTGGGGGGGCGGGGTAACCAGAGATTAAACTCAGGTGCACTCGACCACTGAGCCACATCCCCAGCACTATTTTGTATTTTATTTAGAGACAGGGTGTCAGTGAGTTGCTTACCTCTTCAATTTTCCTGAGGCTGGCTTTGAACTAGCAATTCCCCTGCCTCATGCCTCAGCCTCCTGAGCTGCTGGGATTAGAGGCATGCTCCACCTCCCATCCAAACAACATCACTCTGCCAGAGGCATCCTTAAACTATGTTCAAAACTTTCCATAGGAATACTAATTAACTATTTCACAGCATCACTCAATTCACATTATAGCTTACTTCATGAAGTCTAAACTCCCCTCCAGAATCTGGCCTTAAATCACTTACCTATTATTATTCTCGTTCAGCTTTCTCACCAAATGAATGATAATGATCACTTTCTGCTCCTGGACCACTCCAGAAATTCTCTTGCTCTTGTTTCTCTCACAGTTGCTTTTCCTGAATTCTTCTCCTTCAAGGTCCAGATCAAATTCTGCTACCTCCAGGACACCTCTGTAAAGAGAAATGATAGGGCTAAGTCAGGAAACATTGCCTCTAGCTGTCTGCTATAATTAATACTTCTCTAGATTAAGTAAATTAGTATAATTTAGGTGAAAAGAAGAAACTGCTGCTAATGCTTTATTGAAAGCATGATTTTTGCAAGAAAATTTAGCATAATGGGGAGTTATATTGGCCAAATTAATTATATTGTGTGAATATGTAACAACTAATGAATGAATATGTAACATTAATATGTACAACTACAATGCACCCCAAAAAATGTGGGGGGGGGGCATCACAATGGGGTAAGGAGGACTTGTTAAATCATATTAGTTCTCTCTTTGCTAATTACTGCCCTGCTGAACCACTATGAGGGCTGAGTGGGTCCTAGTCCTCAGTTTTATCATAGCAGAAAAAGGACTGCCACTGGTCCTCACTCCATTTGGGAGGTATTTCAAAAAAGGCCTACTTTTTATTTCTGGGATCTGAATTTAACTACTGTGGCTCTCTGCAAAGACCAAACCACTTAACCTCTTTAAGTTCAGATGGAGACTGGAATTCCTACATCCAGCAGTGTGGTACACGCCTGTAAACCCAGCAGATGGAATTCCTACATCCAGCAGTGTGGCACACGCCTGTAAACCCAGGAACTCCCCCTGTAAACCCAGCAACTCCCGAGGCTAAGGCAGGAGGATTGCAAGTTCAAAGCTAGTCTCAGCAACTTAGCAAGACCCAGTCTCAAAAAGGACTGGGGATGTGGCTCAGTGGTTAAGCGCCACTAGGTTAAATCCCTGGTATTAAAAAAAAAAAAAAACTAAATGTGTTAAGAAATTTAAGAGCCCAGGGTAAGCACTCAACAAATGGGTGCCATGCGTTTAACTGTGTATATTTATATCAGAATATAGCAATATAGCCCGATTTACATCCAACTGGACAAAATTGTTGGGGGAAAGTAGGTTCTATCATGGGGGGGGGGGGGTGTCCCCGATTTCTTGACAGAACTTCAAAATTATAACTAAACACAAAATCTGAGCAGCAGTTCGTGCTCATGTGCGTTGGTATATTCTTCTATGAAAACACTTCACAGTTTGTATGAGGGTCTGGAACGAGCGCAGAACCCAAAACAGGCCGGAAACCTGGAGGACAGTTAAGATTTTTTGATTTAGGGGCAGGGAGCTGGGGGAAACCAAGGAAAGGCCTGAGGTCTTTTGAGGGGTAGGAGAGTTTACCAGTGCGAATCTGGGCTTGCTCCCTCCCTCCCGGAGCTCAAACTGGGCAGCAGGCCACAGTTTTATCTCCCCTGCTAGTGACCTTGGACCAGGCATGGCCGGGGGTCTACCTCAACTTACCTCCGGAAATCAGTGGGTCGGGGGCGGAAGCCCGCGGGTCTTCAGCGGAGGGCGGGATGCAGACTTCAATCTCCCCGCGGGGGCGGGCCCAGCGCGCGGGGCGGGGATGCCGCCGGAGAAAGGCGGGCTCCACTCCGGGCCCAGCGGGGACGTGGTCCTGCTGCGGGCTTGGGCCAGGCGGGCCGGAGCTGAAGTAAGCTTTGCCGCCAACCTAAAAGCGAGCTCCGTCGGGCCGGGGGCGGGGCCGAGGCCGGGGCGGGGCCTGTGGGGGCGGGGCCTCCGGCGGCGCGGGCCTAGCTCTCCACTCACCTCTCCTGGCGGCGGGTGGCGGAAGCCTTGCAGTCGCGAAGGGTAGCGGTGTGTGCCGTGTGGCGCTCGCTAGAGCTACGCGGTAAGTGGCGCTCTCGCCCCTTGTCTGCCCTGCGCCGTTTGCCCTCGGCTCACCCGCTTCATCCCCCCCAAGCCCGGCGCCCACCGCCAGGACCTGCTGGTGTCTGCAGCTGCTGCGAGGGGACCGAGGAAATGGGCGGTCTGGGCAGCGGATCCTTTGTTTTGTGACGACTAGGACTGCGGGGGCGAGCAGTGAGGCGGCGGAGGCAGAGACCCTGCCGCGGAGCTGGAGTCTGGGCTGGGTGTGGAGACCCAGGAGATGAGAGGCCGGAGAGCAGAGGCTGGGTCCTAAACGCCAAGCCGAGGGCGCGCGGACGGCCGGGGGCGCCGAGCTTTGTCGGCGGAGGCCGGGCGGGGAGGGGGCTGCGGCCGGGTGGGTAGGCCGTGGGCACTGAGGCCCGGCAGGTGGAGGCAGGACCGAGACGGGAGGAGGCGGGATGCTGGAGAAGTGACGGCGGCTGGACTCGCCGGCCCTGGCCGGGATCGAGAAGGGAGGAGCGGCCCCGGGAAACTCTGCCCTGGGGGCTGAAAGCCGGCCAGATGCTGACTGGGGCGCTGGTTCTGGGAGCTGATCCTGCCATTATTGCATGAGTGTTTGGGGTTTGCTGTTGTCTAGGACCCGATCCTAGATTTTTCTCAGGTTGACTGTGTGGTTTTAGTTTTTCCGGAGAGCTAATTTTTAAGCATTAACCCCAATTCCTTTTCAGACCTGATGGCTTTCGTCAATCCCCCAGTTCCTTTCTGTGTTTTTATATCCATAGTCAAAGTTACTGTATCAACAGCTTAATCCCTTCAATTCGTGATGAAATAGTGTCACACTTGACACTCTTTTTCTCAGTGGGTCATCTTAAGCCTGACTTGAGCTGCTGCCTGGGGACCCAGAAAGCATACGTCTCACCTACCCACCCACTCCTTCCGCAGTTAGTCACCAAGACTTGTCAACCTCCTTAACGTCTGCCTCCTAAAGATCCGTGCATGCCCCTCCATCTCTAATTTCAACCGCTCTGACTTTGCCAGCCTCCTCTCTGGTCTCCCCACTGTCTCCGGCTTCATTCCAGTCCATTCGTTACAACGTGAAAATATAGAAAACTGTTTCTTTGTCCTCAGGGTCAATCTAGTACCCTAATGTGGTTAACAGAAAGCCAAATATTGAGGTCCTGAATACCCTCCTCTGCCGTATCTTTTACCATGTATCCTTTCACTTTCTATACGGTCCTGTGTTCACCTTCATACCTGTTCTCTTCCTGGAACACATTTACATTCCCGTTCTCCTCCCATCATATTTGCTTGCAAGTAGGAACTCCTACTTAGGTTTCTGTTTTAACAGTTGAAGATCAGATCTTCCTATTATGTGTTTCTTTTGCACCAGGCATTTCCTAAGAAGCCTCTGTCATATCCTTTACAGTTTGTATTCTTCTCTACTGGATTATAAGCAAACTCCATGAGGGATTGACTTGATTTAGATTAAACTGAAGTAGTAGAAAGGACAAAGATCCTACCCTTATGCAGATCTTATACAGATATTCACAGGTACAATGGCTCAACAAGGCAAATGCAGGGCTATGTTCATTCCCTAGCAGATAACTTTATCATACCCTACCATAATACAGAATGTATTGTCAAAGACATTTGTTCAACTCATCCTCACAACAACCCTGTGAGGTGCATATATTATAACTAATTTATAGGATGAGCTAGCAAGTCTCAACTTGGGACTTAGGCTTAGGTCATCCGACAATAGAATACCCTTTACCCTCCAATACATTTGCATTCATTAAATAGGTACAAAACAATACTTAAGAATCTAAAAATTCCCACTTTTTTTCTTTTTGATTTTTTAATTATTTTTAGGTACACATGACATCAGTGTGTATTTTAACATATATACATGGTGTACAGCTCATTCTAATTAGGATCCATTTTTGTTCTTCTACATGATGTGGAGTTACACTGATTGTGTATTCATATATGAACATAGGAAAGTTATGTCTCATTCATTCTACCATCTTTCCTATTCCCATCCCCCCACATTTTTTTCTTTAAAGTCCAAATACCACTTATACTCCGTATTTTGGGGGAAGAATTTAAAGAATTACCTAATACTAAGACCAGAATGAATACAGTGTCATTCATGGAAATAAAAATAGCTTTGTAACATTAGAAGGGCAATGAAGCAGTAGGAGATTCTCTTAAATTATGTTTGAAAACAATAAACAGCATTTTAATTTCAAATATCAGATAAGATGCCGGTTTCTTAAAATGGCAGGGGGCAAGCCCTTTTCTCAGAAAGCTCAAACATTCAGATTATAACAGGGTTAAGCTTTACATTTCATTTTTAGAGATCATGTGACCATAGCACATTCAAGTGGCTGAGCACATCTTGATAAAGTCTTTCACCACTTAGCACTTATGTTATCTTTCATATTCTATTGGTACAATGAGTTCATGTTTCACCTCTACCATTCTTTTCTAATCCGTGTGTTTTAGTTATAATTTGCTAAATAATCCTAAAAAAAGTTTTATTTTTTTCTAGATCAGGCATAATCATTAAAAAGCAAAATACTGTAATAAAACACACACACAGAGACACACAAACACACACACACACACACACACACACACACACACACTACAGGCATTTACTTGTGTTAGGCCCTGGTTTGGGGAAAATAAAATGTAGAACACCATGATAAGTAAAGTCAATCCCTCATGGATTCTTCTCTACAATCTAGTAGGAAAGAATACAAACAACTGTAAAGGATATGACAGATGCTTCTTAGGCAATGCCTGTTGCAAAAGGAACATGTATTAGGAAGACTTGATCTTCAGTTTGTTAAATGAAAACAGAAACCTAAGTAGGAGTTTCTACATATCTGCCCACAGTTGATGTTCAGTAAATTATTATGGTTATCTATATAATTTTTATAAATGGTACTTACGATCCTTCATTCTACATTTATTTCATACAAAATATTTAGGTCTACAGGGGATTTTCTATTTTCTCCTTTTGTGCCTCCAAAAAATATTATCTCAGGACTGAACTTGGGAGAGAAGGAAAAACAGATCCCCTTGCACATGTTGTACCATGTCCTTTCTGACTTGTGGCACAAAATTGGAGGCTCTGAATAGTGGTAACATACTAGTCTTTCTTATTGTGTGGCCCACACCAAAGAAAAGGAAAGTATGGTGCATATGTGCATGTGCTACAACTTAATTTAGTTTATTCTGTATTTAATTTTACTTTCCATTTGTGTGTGTGTTTTTAATTTAATTACCTTTTAACTATTAAGAGATTGAATTTAGGGCTGGGGATGTGGCTCAAGTGATAGGGTACTAGCCTGGCATGCATGAGGCACTAGGTTCAATCCTCAGCACCACATAAAAATTTAAAAAAGTAAAGATATTGTGTCCACCTAAAACTAAAAAATAAATATTTTTAAAAAGAGAGAGATGAATTTACCAGGCCCAATGATAGTAGCCAGTTTAGTAATTCTTATAATTCCATATAAGTAATTCTTATATGTCCCTGAAGAACTTTAGAGACCAAATAGAGATAGGAAAGAGACCAGATTTAAAATCTCTGGTACATTACAACTGAAATCTTTTCTTATCCAACCTATTGTGACACAGATGTTATTTCTGTTTCACTTACTTAATCTGGAAATGTAACTGCTTTTGAGACTTTGTTATCACTGATAGGTAATAAATGTAACCCTGATATTTTTCAAATTGTTTGATAGAAATACAGTCTTCCCAGAAGTCATATTGGAATGGATTCACCCTTCCTTTGGAGGCAGGTGGGAATGTAGGAAATCTCTCAAAGATTTAGTGAATGCCTAACATGAAACCAGTTATTTTATTTTAGAAGTAAATGACCTCATGGCATCAGAAACATCATAATCTTCATTCCTATTTTCTTCATTATTTAGAATAAGTACTCTACAGTTGCCACTTAATATCTGTGGATTCAACCAACCACGAATCAGAAATATTAGGAGATAGGTTGAGGACAAAGCTCAGTTGGTAGAGTGCTTGCCTTGTATGCATAAGGTCCTAGGTTCAATCCCCAGCAACACACACACACACACACACACACACACACACACGACACAAAATTGCTTCTGTACTGAACATGTAGAGACTTTTTTTCTTGTCATTATTCTCTGACCATCATAGCATTTACATTGTATTAACTATTATAAATAATCTAGAGATGAGCTAAAATATATAGAAGGTATGATAGGTTATATGCAAGTAGTATTCCATTTTATATGAGGGACTTGAGCATCCTTGGATTTTAGTATCCAAGAGAGGTCCTAGAACAGATCACCCACAGATACCGAGGGACAACTGTATATCCTATTTCAGTTCTCAGTAGTCGATTTCTAACTTGTTACTAATGTTCTTTGTCTTAACTTAATTACAGCTTTCAGATTATGGATTTTTATTGCCTTTTTTTTAATTAACTGGTATTATCACTCCCGTGATTTTTTTTTTAAGTCGTGGATGAATCTTTAATTTTATTTATTTATTTATTTATATGTGTTGCTGAGGATGGAACCCAGTGCCTCATATATGCTAGGCAAGTGCTCCACCGCTGAGCCACAACTTCAGCCCTACTCCCATATGATTTTAGCCGCCTATAGAATATGGAGTGGGAGTTGGCTCTCTTGGGTCATATCCTTGTATGAATTCTGGCTCTGACACTTTTTAAACTTCTCTAAGTCTCAGTTAACAGAAGCATAAAATGGGATCATTTTGTCTCAGGGTCTTTTTGAGAGGACTGACTAAAAATACATATGGGCCTTTCATCCCAGAGTAGTCTATATTAACCAGAAGTAAAAGGCATTTTAATTGTTGCTTAGGTAAATTTTTAATTAGAAATGTTTTTTTCAAAGTATTCATATTCATGGAAATGACTCAAAAATGATCAGTGTTGATTCTTAGGTCTCATAAGATTTAGAAAACTCTTAGGGCAGAGACCAGGTTTTAGAATGTCCC